TAAAACGACACTGTGGCCAAAACGAAAAATGTATTTATTGCGATATGTGCTGTAAATTCTTATTCGCATCCTACAGCCACAGCGCAGTAGACTCTAGAGCAGGGGTCGGCAACATGTGGCTCTTTTACTGCCCTGTTGTGGCTCCACAGTAGAATTAGATTTGTAGGTAAAAATCAAATAATCCTCCTTTGCAGTAAAATAAAGCTCTGCTGATCGTTTAACACAGTTTAACAATAAATGGTCTTCAACACTGGAGCTAATGTAGAACTGCTAATTCATCAACCTTTAGGGTTAAAGGTGCAGACTGCTGGTCACCACAGCAATGCAGACAACGATCTTGCCTAGCTAGCAGAAAGATTAAAGACAGACTGATAATTTGGAGATGAATGGACTTATTTGCATTTATAATCACTCCAGCTGATTTCCTGATATGTTTAATCTGCAACGAGAAACTGTCAAACACTAAAAAGTCGCGAGGCTGAAGTTGCTTCTCATTTGCCAGCTTTTCATTTGAATTTTCCTGTTCCACCTTAAATGGTGCAGCAGTTACATTCTGGCGCCTAAGGCACCATTTAAGGTGTAACGGGAAAATTCGAACAAGAAGCTGGCGAATGAGAAGCGACATCAGCCTAGTGAAAAGTCTAACATTGAGAGACATTTTACAAGGAACTGTTCTACTTTTGAGGAAAAGTTTCCTGCCGGAGATGCAAGAAAAGCAGATATGGCTGAGTTAAAGCAGAGCAAAGTAAGTCTGTGTTTTTGTTTATATTATATTTTTTAGCCTTTACTAGCACATTAGCACACACTGAGACATATTTACAGCCATGATGGTAAAACATTGCTTCAGTAAAATGGAAATAAAATGATGTGTCTCCCGAGGTGGTTGGATTTTTGTTGAAAGGACAAAATGGCTCTTTTTAACGTTTGGGTTGCCCACCCCTGGTCTAGAGCGAGAGTTTACCATTTAAAGACTAGAAAAACCCTTCTGATGACATATCATGAAGGTGGGAGGAACATCTGAAAGAATACTACTGCTTTGGGATGGATTTTTGTGGGCAGGCTGTTTGAAATGTTATTCTTTTTTGTCTGGTGAATGTAGAAAGACAGAAAATAGCCAATGCTAATGCTGGAAGGCTAAACATCTTATTGCAATTATAACTGTAGAGACTGTCTTCACAACATCGTTATAATGGACATAACTGTTTGTTGAAATAACAGAAATGCTTAATCACATAAAGAAGACAACAAGCTAAAAGCTACAGTTAGATTCCTGGCTAGATAAAAACACCTCAGTTTGGCTTATTTTCTCTGGAAAGGGGAAAATCGTGTCTTTGTCTGTTTATGATTTAAATTTAATTTATTTAGATTTCTCAAAAAAATGTCCGCACTTACATTCCACCCAGCCAGAGTGTCACGCCTCCTGCCGAGGATGCCTTCTCTGTCTGTTCCCTTTCCCCTACAGGGTCACTTGAGTCCATGGACTTTCTCAAGGACTCCAGCTTAAACATTTAACTTAAACCTTGTCTTTTCATCCGCACGTGTCTGATCTGTGCTGGCTCCTTAACACAGAGACACATTATTTTAATAGAAATCTATCGCTTCTCATATCGTCACTGTATTATCCGACAGCTTTATCAAACATTGCATTTTATGTCAATATCATGCAGCCCTACCAGGTACCAGATTTGCCTAATGGGAAAACAAAAGAGACGGGTTGAGTCAAGTCGAGTCAAGTCGAGTCAAGCCCGTACCCTGCAGTGGAAAACCAGCTTTAAAGGCACAGTAACTAATACAGTCTGTTCTGTAATTCTAAGAGAAATTGGAAAAATGTCCATGTAAAAATTAATTATGACTGTTTTTGGTACATAAAACAACACAAATCTCATAAGAGGACCTCAGGGGCAAAAATAAAATGGAAGAAAATTAAAGATATGGGTCTAAGTTATTGTGACGTAACTTTATCATGATAAAAATATCATCTTCACTCCCTCGTCCTGGATCAGCTGCGCTGAACGGAAAGCCGGCGGGATTAAAAGAGAATCATCATAATCAGCCATTACAGAATCCCCAAAATCTAGATATTATCATAAGCATGTTACATAACCAATCATAACAAGCACAGGGACGACTTTTCCTCTGAATCTGACCAAATCTGTGCTAGTCTGGAGTGACCTCCACAGTAACCTTCACAACACACGTGATTTCAACAGAGATTATGATATTAATAATCCGATATCAGAAACTCGCCAGATTGCAGGCCAGCCGATCTGTTACCAAACACCGCCGTGCTGCTGCCGTTGCAAATGCAAATGTTAAAGTCTTTGAGGACCGTGAACACAATGCCCACACACACACACACACACGCTGTCTCTGGTGCCAAACCATATGCTGAGTATCAGGCTCCCATACTGAGAGACTGGAAGCAGATCGAGTGTGAGCGCGAGTGAACGTGGGTGTGTGTGTGTGTGTGTGAGGAAAAGCCGTTTACACAACTCTCTGACAGACTCAGGAGGCAGACTGTCTATGACTATTAATCACTGTCACTGTCATTCAGCACAGAGAGCACAGCTCAACTAACATACCAGTTGTAACAACGCTGCGTTAAATCTCCATCTAGTTCTACAGCTAATTCAAGTCTAATCAGAACTAGACAGTGGAGAGCTGTGCACGTACAGACCCATGCTTTACATTTATGGTGCAAACAGACCAGGCTGGATTGTTTTCACTGCCCAAGTTTAACACCTTGCCTTTTTTACATTTTCCACAGTTTGTTTTAACCCCTGCGTGGTGTTCGGGTCTGTGGGGCCCATTTTCAATGTTTACAAAAGAAAAAATGATGCGATTTATTATTATTTCAACCCCAGATTCCTTGGCCTTTGCTCATTTTCTGTGAAGGACATATAAAATAACACATTTTCAGTGTCTTCACACTGTTCAACCTGCAGGGAGTAAAAGTGTGGAGGTGCTGTGTCCTTCACTCTGTTCTCCTCCTACATGGCCTGCTGTTAGTGTGTGTGTGTCTGTGTGTGTGTATGTGTGAGGGTGGACAACATGAACAGGCTGCTGACTGGCTACAGCTGCTAAAGGAGAACCCTACGCTGGCCACTTGTGATATTTTAAACATCTGGTATTTTGACAAATTGTTATGGCTGCATTGATTAAAAAAAAATAAAAATGTGGTGGGTCCACCAGACCACTGAGTAACAGACACATCAACACCACACAAGGGTTAAAAGGGCGTCTGAGTACATTTTCCAGCATTCATCAAAGTGCCTTCCCTGATATGAAGAGAATATTCATGTTTCTAAATGGCTCAGACACACAGTTTCTAGGAAAAAAACATTTTACTGACATACAACCTTTACATTTCATTAAAGCCAACATGAAGAAGAATCACTAAGTATTTTCCTTCCAACCGCATTTCTTTTCCAACACGGCATCAGGGAGGGTCTCAAAGAAAACATTTTCCCCCAGTAATAAGTGGGAGGTGGTGGAGGGGGATGTAAAGCATGGTATTAGTGGATAAAAGCATTTTTCTGTAGAGCGAAGATGTTTTTGAGTTGGACAAACATCATTACATTTTCATGGAAGATAACTGAATATGAACATGAATTTAGTCTTTTAAATGATATGTCATGAGTTTGATATGACCAGGGACATTAACTAAATGTAAAAAAAGAGTCCACTATGGCTTTAAGGGTTGACTTCACACATCTCCATTACAAAAATGGTTCTTCCAGCAGTGGTTCTTAAATTAGCAATGAGGGACCCCAGACAGTCCAAATGTTTGTTCTATCCCAGTGTTTAAGTTAGGTTTGAGCAAAAATCTTGGGGTCCCTGAGGACCCGTTTGAGAATCACTGCTTTAAAGGGAACCATCCACTGAGAAGCTCTTTAAAGCAGTGGTTCTCAAACCAGTTCTCAGGGACCCCCAACATTCCACATTTTTGTTCCAACCCTAATTATGGACCATCTGGGGGTGCCTGAGGAACAGTTTGAGAAACACTGCTTTGGTGGTTTTTCTGTAGAAATGTTCCAAATAGCCCTTTATGGCACCTTTATTTTTAAAAGTGTAGGTTTGGCCTAAATAATGAACATTTACAGCATACAGTGAACCTCTTTGGGCCCTGATGTGGTTTAAACATCTGAAGGGTTTGAGTGCTGATGAGTGACATCACAAAAAGGGTCAGTTGGACAATGGCAATATCTAACTTTCTAATTGATATGTTAAGTTGCTGAAAATGGCAAAGTAAAGCTAGGAGTCCCCAAATCTGTGATGGGCAGTGTGTGTGGAAGAATCTCAAGATCGTAACTGATCACAATTAAAATGAGATCATGAGGAACACAGTGTAAGACAGTTCTCTAAAAGGGACTGTGACTGAGCTTTAGCGGTATAATGTTAGGGACACTTGACCACTAATTAAAGATATGTTATCAGTTCAAATGGCTAATCAATGAACTAAATGACTGACAAGACAAGACCAGCCGTAACTGAGCAATACCATTCCAGCATAGCAGCAAAGCACCTGGAGAGCACTGTAGTTGATGGTATTATCACTGCAGGATACTGACAGGGTGGGTAGAGCAGCCTAAGCACATACTTTTGAGGAATGAAGACAGAAGTACAAGTAAAACTACCTTTCCAAAAAAAAAACTTAAGTGGAAGTACAGAACTACCAGTACCACAAGTACTTAAGTACTGAGTTCCATACAGAACTGCAGTGGAACTCTTAGTACATCCAACATCTATAAGCAAAGTAAAAGACGCCTGTCAGGGCCTTAACAAGCTCTCCGTCTAAAATAAAACGACAGCTCAAAAGTCAGATGCGACCAATCATAAAGCAGAACAAAGTCCTTTCCTCACAAATGTACGAGCAGAAGTAAATGTACAATGGTTTAAAAAACTTAGGAAAGTATGAATCCATAAAATCCAGTTGGATACCCACTGGTGAGTAATATTAGTAAGTGGCTAATATTAGTAAACGATTAGTAAAGCCTTACCGATCTCATCTGCTGAGCTCCAGTGACCTGCGGCAGCACTTTGTCCAGCTCCTTTTCTATACGACTTGCCCAGTGCATCATCCTGAAAGAGAGAGAGAGAGAGAGAGAATTAAAATTCAGAAGATGAACCCGGGGGAACTTATCCCCCGAATGAAACATGTGCACTTTGCACATCGCAAAAGATCCACGTCATGAAGGCTTAACACCTGGCTTAACATTTCCCACCCGGAACAAAGCACAAGATACCAATGTTTGTGATCTGTAGTAATGAGGTGGACAGCCTGGAGATCAGAACAGCGAATAGTTCAAAGGCTAAGATTCAGAAAAGTTTTTTTCCCCCCCACATATTCTGACAATTCACCAGAGACTTGTTTATCTCATTAACATAAGTTAGCATTCACAGTCTCAGACACCACTGATTCTGATGCCCAGACAGCTTAACACAACATTTCAGCATCTGAAATCACTGATAGGTACTTTTGGTGTGGTTATGTTAAATTTACCAGCTAATAACACTGTTCATGAGCATCAATACATTGTTTTGAGGATTACAGTATGAATATGATTGACCAAAAGTGGTAAACCTAGCCCTGATCAATGTTACAGCCGTTGCTGGTGTTTTTCCGAAGGTGCTGGCTTCAAATAAATCCCCAAAAAATCCCAGGCCTGGAATCTCTCCTAACAGTCACTCAGGTTTTTCACTGTGCAATATTTCTATCAAGTTTTACTGATAGTGGCGCATTCCACATTTACCAGCAATATTAGCAGGAATATATTTGCTGCCAAAGGGGTATTTTTCATATTGGAGGTATCAGACATTGGCAGACAACGCAGTGGTACTGCGGTGTTACAGGAGCCTTATAGCAGCATTATCTAAAACTGCTTAATGGTCTGAGATTTGCAACCAAGGCCTGCGGTCTGAAATTAGCCTTATCTACACTATGCAGCCTTAGAATACCCCCAGAGAAAGCCTGAGTGTGTACACGTGGGCGTGTGGGTGTGTGTGTGTTTATGCGTATCTGCTGGAAAATATGACAATTGAGTCCAACAACAATTTATTAACATATTAAATAATACCATACATTTGCCCTTTTATCTGACCGCGTATGTTTGCACCTTCCTCACTGCAGGTTTTGGCCACGTTTACACCTGACCTGTCGAGTTTGCTCGATTATCTCATCCGTTTTTGAGTGGTTTATCTATGCCAGCACTGGCATCACACAGTGATCCAGATTTTGAGTTTTAATGGTGTTGATAGATAATGAGCATTATATCCAGGATAATGTTACATTCAATACAACAGCAAGCAGTTTTAGTTTTTCAATTCTATTCTGTCCATTTTGCTTGCGGTGTCCTGGACCCGGCAGTTAACTGTAATGTATGTAATTTATTGGATGTTTGGGGTTGTTTTAAAAGAACAATTTAGACTCCTTAAAAAATTAAGTCAATAGTAAGTTTTACACACAACGTAAAAAACTTATTTACTTACAAATTATGTCAAAAACTGAAAAATGACAAAAATAGAGACAGCGATTTATAAATATATATATATATATATATATATATATATATATATATATACACACACACACACACACACACACACACACACATTTCTGCAAGCTTAATAGAAAAAGTTTTTTAGCATTTAAGTGCACAAAAAATAGCTTTATTTCATTATTTTTATTTTGTTAAATAGTTAGTGGTGTGTTTATAATTATAGATTTTGTATATTCATTTGTTTTTGGTTATTTGCTCTAAGGACAGGTTAGTTAAAATACTGTTTACACAGGCAAAAAAAGTCTGTACTGGTGGCACATAAATCATAATTTATCGCTGATAAATTTGTGATATTAATTGAATAGCTTTGCTGCACATCAGATTTTATGTCTATATCGTGCAGCCCTGGTAACAAATCCCTCTGGAACTTTTAAGGGAAGAAAACAAAACAGTTCAATAGCAGTCAGGAAGCAGGAGTTAAATAAGTAAAGTAATATGAAAAAATATATATATAATTAAATATCAAATACACTTAAACTAAATAACTGACTATTTCAATACAGTTTTGAAAAAATTAATCTGTGAAAGAGTGCATGGAAATATGAAACTGTGCTCCATCCTTCGTGGAATCCACCATCAGTGATCAAAACTACTCATCTTGGTGCATCCAGTTAGAGTAGAGTGGCTGGGGAGGGGGCGGGGCAATGCTATGCTATGCATGCACCTACGCTCAAATGATTAGGCGTTTTTTCTGCAGTGGCTGATAACTTTAAGGGGTTGCAATTTTTGGGGTTTACTTAGTGTCTGTGGATATTTTAGACACATGCACTATTAACTGAAACAAATCTTGACCTCAGAATCAAAAAATCTGTCCTAGCCAAGTAGTCCACACCTTCAGTCCCCCAGGACAAACCACTCCAACTGGTCACACCTGACACTCAGCCACAGCATACAGACCCTAGTTTTCACTCAGTCTTTGTAAAGTCTTGTTAGAGGTGGGCGATATGGAAAGAATACATGATATGCATCACAATATTTAGTTTTTCAGCAGTTTGCTAAGTTGGCACAGATGAAAAAGAACAAAAATACTAAAAAGAAATTTGACTACAATGATTTTAATATGCAGTTTTACACACCACACTGCACTAAATCCAATTAAACAGGACTAATTATGCTGTCTTTGTAGTGAAACGTTCTTTAAATATGATATATATATCCTCAGAAAAGCACACTGTGAAAATGTAAATAACGATGTAATTTATCATGAACATAAATATCGTCACATTGTCTAAGTCTTGTATGTGTTTACCACTGTGTTGTTTAGCTGTTTGTATCATTGTTCTTACTACAGTTATGAACTTCAGCTACCTGCTTTTCCCTCATTAACTTACATTTTCACATACAATCTTCCTGCCTCTTGTGTTGACCTTGCTTGCTTTATGATTTACTCTTGTGCTTCATGTTTTTGCACACATAGACTGCTTCTGTGTGTTGCTAATAAACCCCAGCAAATTCTCTGTTTTAAACCTGAGTTCTCTCCAATCACCAACCCCGTCAGTATCAAACCTCAAAATATCGCTGCTTTCGGAACAAAACCTTGTTTCTCCACTTTTTGTTGTGTTTCAGTTTATGAAAATTTACATTGGTGTAAATTTCATGACAAATGGACCAAAAAAAGTTGGGTTCCATTGAGTTACATTAAAAGTAGAGTATGTTTTTTCTTTCTCCTGTAAAGTTATCATTTTGGAGATACAAGGTTTTGTCCTGACAACAGCGATATGCACATCGTTACACCCCTACATAATATTTGGAAAATATCATGATGCTGAATTCTATCAATTCTGCCCAACACTAATCCCATCCCCCTATTCTCGCTCTCTCTTCCTCTTTCTCTCTTTCTTTGGTAGTAGAAGAGTTGGTTGGCAGGCAGCTGTAGTGTTTAAGGATGCTGGTGATAAAAAAGGCCTGAGCTCTGACAGAAGTGCTACCCTAAGCAGCGTGAGCGCTGGCTAAACGGAGCCAACCCAGGAATTAAGAGATCAAACGTCTTCAGATCAGTGCTGTATATCTCTTCCTCCACACACACACACACACACACACACACACACACACACACACACAGCCAAAAGCACTTAACACAACGAGAAGCCTAACAAGATGCTGCTGATGCAGAGAGACTGATGGACAGAGAGAGAATGGGAAGAGGGTGAAGAATGCTGTCTGGGACAGAGAGACAGCCAAAGCAACAACACAACCAGCCACATCCAGACAAACACACACAGCTGCTGTACGCTTGCATAGCATAAGCCACAGGTTCCTGTAGGCTACATGTTGGACCAGTCACTGAAAAGGTTATCATTGTGCTAGAAGGCCCATGAAAATAGTCCACAAAGGCTTTGTAAGACATGCTGTTGTGATAGTGATGTACGGTGGGCCAGATTCTCCAGGCCACAATCAGGCAGTCCTGTCTAAACACACTAGGGCGATACGTAGGGCTGTGTTCAAAATATCGATATATCTTGGATAAGCTTGCGTTGATACACATATCAAAACAGGGACGGCTGTATCAATACTTTTTAACACGGCATGTATATGCGCAAGTGAATCTAATATTGCATCCAATCTGAGAGCGCAACGTTTTTAGAGCTCACTCTTCATCTATTATTATATGCATAAAAACATGCGTTGGAGAAAAATAGGTCCAGTCCGGTCTGGACTGACTCCAGTGCCCCATTAAGTCATGTTGTGTATTCGAGCGTTTTTAGTTTGCGGCTATTGTGAATTATTAGTTTGTAGCCATTGTGATTAGTACTTAGCCGTTAGCATTTTGGTTATGTGTTTGTAGAGCTGCTTTGTGTAGCGTTGTTAAATACTAAATGAATGATGTTCCTGTACTGTATCTGCATTTGTGGCACATGCTAGTGAACACAGTGTTGTTCAATGATATTTTACAGCCAGTGACTCTCTTACATGCACATGTGCTCAAATACTGATTACTGCCTCACAGGCCTCACAGGCTGCTGCTGCCTCTGTGATTGTAAGTGCAGAAAGTTCACTCCTATGTGAGAGTGAGAGTGTGTAAACCAAGCTTGTCAACACACAGAGGGGGAAAAAGTAAACAAAGTAAAACACGGACAGCATATGTGTTGCTTTTGACACGGGCAGAGAAAAATTTGGGGGGCTGCATTTTAGTGAAAAGCGTCAACATTTATCCAGATATGATCCGAACACTAAACACATGTTAATGCAAGGCGTAAACAGGCGGTAAGTGCTCAGAGTGAAGCAGACCTAAAATATTGTTTTAGAAAATCCCCCAGCATTATTAATATATACATTATTCTTATCTCATCTTATAAATTTTAGATAAGCACAAATGTAAAAAAGTCAATCATTCTTCACAACCTAATTTTCTATTCATTTTTGCTGCATTTTAAGTTTTACAAATGTTACAAATTTCTACAAATAAGGCAGACATTCACCAAAAAATGTCTGTTGCACAGCTGGTTTGTTTGGTCATAGTATCATATCCTATCATGACCCTTGTATCATGAAACGTATCATATCGTGTTGCTGACAATACCC